GGGGGTGGGGGGCTTCCCCTATTTTTGGAAAAGGTCTGCTCTGGGTAAAAATTTGATCTAGGTACATGGGGATTTCATGGTAAAGGGTCCACTTTTTCAGAAAAAGACCCCCCCCCCCCCCTTAGAAATTGCTGGCTACAGGCCTGCATAAATCATACAGAGAGAGAGAGAGAGAGAGAGAGAGAGAGAGAGAGAGAGAGAGAGAGAGAGAGAGTAACAAACAAGCAAAAGAAGAAAAGTAACAAAGGGGAAAGCAAATACATATGAATTTATAATTTTTGGAAGGATTCTAAAAAGTTTTAAACACCCAAGATAATCCCTGAAGCATGTATCAAAAGTGAATTTTCTGCATCAACAATCTGCTTTGAAAATCCAAGCTTCAGCGAATATGACAAGAACAAAGAGTTCCCACACCCCCTGGGTAACCTCATTATCAAGGTCTATAGAAAACATTGATGGTATACTTTATTAGAAGAATACTTAATGTAATCTGATATCTTAATCGTGATGAATATGTATAACTGCATAATATAATATCACTAATCAAAGGTAAAATCTAAAATTATATCTTTAGTTGCAGCAGGTGTCTTCATCATGTTCAGACATTTATTTTGAAATATATAAATATACCTGAGGACTCATATATTTCGTCATTTTAAGGCTCTCCAAGGCAGAAAAGTTGATATCTTTTTTCATCATGTAATTGAGATTTATATGAAGCAAGTATCATGAGGCAAAAGGAAAGTACCACTGTTTTTGAAGAAATCACATGCTTACAGATGAATCTTTATTGTAAATATAACTGATCATCCAATGATTAAACATAATGAGTTAAATAAGTCACTGTATCATGAAAATGTGGGTGTAATTGCCCATAAAAACAACAGGTAGTTCATGTTACAGGATGGAGTAGTAGCTCCTCTGGCTTGCATTAGAACCCTCTGTCTTTGAAATACACCTAAGGCAATGGATGAAATTGTAAGGAGTCTTCAAATATCACCATGGGATTCTCGGTTTGAAAACCATCATTCAAATCCATCATGACAAATATGACAATATCTTGAGGTTAAAAAGGCATTATTTCTATTTGATAAATCATACAGACATTCTGAATTACAGATGTATTCAATTATCTGTTATTATGACTACTGTATTAACAAACTTGCTCAGATTTCAAATCCTCTCTATGAAACTCTCCTTCGTACAAAAGTTATGCTTTTTGAGAGAAAAATCTTTTTGTTGTTCAACTCACATTGCAGCTCATCCAAACACAATGCAGCACATCCAAACACAACACTGGCACAACTAGCGCATTTGTTAAGAAGCAGCTTGTTCTGCTAGCTATTAGGTTGTCCATGCAAATTTTTGAAGATAAATAGATAATAGATAGATAAATTATCCCTCTTCTTTTTGGGAAAGTTGAAGAATTACAATGTTTTTAACTCTTCCAAAAGCTAAAAGAATTAAAATGATAACAATGAATCAAACCATTTATACTTTTAGAAATTATCAAGTGAATGTCCATAACTTAAGATAAAGAACAGAAAATTCATGAAAACTAATAAGTCTTGGAGTAATTCAGTATACATAACTGCATCACAAAATCAAAATATTTCATCTCAAAATAATTTTTTGTAACATGGTAGCTGTTCCCATAGTTCAAATGGCTCAGGACAGACCAAAATAACCATGACAATCAAGACTAACAACCAATCAAGACAGAGGGGGAAATAGGCCAAATTGGTCATTAATAACAACATGACATCTCCCATAATGAAGTCAGGACAGCATATCAAACCAGTGAATGATATGGTGCAAAAAATGTTTTTAAAAAATTAAGTTTCTGACACAATATATTTTGTCTGCCACTTGCTCATTTTTGAACCAAATACTGTTTCTTCTCAGAAGTGAAGGATTTTCTGTAGTAAAATATGATAATTGATATTTTATTTCCTTTGAACAACAAATTACTTTATGCCATGACTACTATCCTATTTTTCTTAAAAATTCAAAGTTCTGTAAATTGTCTTTTTTTTCTTTCCCTTTTTTAACCAGATTTTTAATGTGATGTTGCACTTAAAAATCTGAATATTTACATATATTTTCAGCTCTCAAGACAAGATTTCTGTAGGATAGAATATCTGGGGGTCCAGAAAACTTCATATAAATCACCAAACATCCTCTCAATGACAGCAGACCACAATTTGAAATTAACAAAATTTGGGTAAAGGGACAGCAACTCATCATTGGCAATAATTTCATAATGAGATCATAGACATGAGTCAGGGGTAATGATGGAAATCAGCAGACATCAAAGGGTTCCGTATTATCGCTGCAACCGTGTCAATTTGCGACAGAATTGGTGTCTGGATCTGAACCCACCACATCGTCTGCCACTGGCGATATGATGATATGCTGTCCCGCAAGCAGACAATATAATGCTCCTCAAACACTTTCTGTACTACAACCCACTATATTAAATTTGACTAAAGAAATGAGTAACTGTGAAAGATTTTTCTAACATTTTTTTTAAAAAAATACTTTTTTCATTTTGCTGTGAAAAAAAATTATTACAGTGAAATGTGATCACAAGAAATGCTCTTCCCATTCATCAAGGCTGAAGATTTTGAATAACCTCCCTTAACTCATCACCAGCCTTGCCAGCTGTCCTAATTTACATATTCAACAATTTTTGACAATAATTCTGTTTGTTTTTGATGTCTGCTCTCATCAGCATCACTGAAAAATGTAATGTCAGATGTGCATAATTAAATGTAATCAGGGTTGTCAGGAATGAAGTCATCACAAGCGCCATGCAAGGATGATCACGCAAGAACTAAAACAAGAAAAGCCAAGAGTCGAAACCATGATTTCCAGTGAGTCAACATCTCCATTTCTAATTGAAAAGATTCAGACTTTAAATGACAGACATATCGAATTGAATTATCATAGAAAATCAGATTTCACAGAGAAGCAAGTCAAGGGGTTCTACACCCTGTCAAATCAACTGCACAATTTGCATCAAATAAAAAACAAAAATCTGGGACTATATGTCGAATAAATATGCAAAGGCTTCTCTTAAACCTCTCAGAATCTGGAGACAAAAGCTTATATCTGTACCCATAAATAGGTTTGCTATAGCTTGTATCTCAAGGGAAAGTTAATTTTGCATGTCCAGAGATACTGTAAGATTACCATCTTGCTTTAGTTATAATCTTAGACATGATCTCTTTGTGGGTCTGTTTTAATGCAGGGTGGCCTGCAGTTTAGTTAGTTATAAGAAAGGGCAAATAAATATTTTGCTTATGTAAACCACCATCTGTCATTTTAAAGCTGAGATATTACAGAAGATAAATAAATAAATAAATAAATAAATAAAAATGACAATTTGTGAATGTCTTGTTTCCAAAACATGGTAAATAAATATCATAATTCCATCATTTCCAAACCATGTACATAAAATAACTGAAGTGTGAGTGGGCTTCACATCTGGTTACTCTTGTTTACATCACAACTTCCTCTCAGGTAACACAGCTCCTCTAATATCTCACCTGACCAGGTGAGTTATCTATTCATAGTCAATCATAATAATGAGACTCAAAGGTCCCAAGAAACCCATGTTGCCAGGATACCTCTGATAAATTTTCTTTTTTAAAATTTAACCCACGTGGGGTGACTTTCCCTAGTTCAGCTTATTTCTTATCATTTGAATTTTCTCTTCAAGTGAGATATTTTCCACATATTTCAATCCATTCTCACTAAGTGACTTAAATTCAAGTTGTTCTTTCATTACACGACCAATCAAACTCAAACAATCATTCAATTGATCTCTGGCCCTTTACGTGATTCATTAATTAACGTCACGGCTGAGCACGTGAAAGACACGGTGGAGAGATGATGAGGGTTTAATAAGCAAGACATCTGCCATATACTTCAATGTCGTCTTCCATGCTGTGACGATAGATACTGGACTAATTTTTCATCAGGTTCTAGCTTTTTTTAACCTGTTAAGAGCCCTTCAGTTCCAATAGATGGTGTTTGCTATTCTACTTGACTTAATTTTGTCTTAGTTTAATGTTATGAAACATCTGTCATAAATCTGTTTTTAAGTTTTCTAATAACGCAAATTCCTTGCTTGCTGTTTCTTTATGCAACAAAATTCCTTTCTTGGTGAATTTATAACAATCTTCACTGAAGAGAAACATTATCTCACAGAAACAATCATTATATAAACACAATAAATTCATATCAAATAATTTTCATAAAAAAGAATGTCAACATTGTCTCCTGAAATGAAAAGACATTCCTTTCAAATACAACAAGCAGTGAAAAACAAAGTCATAAAATAAAGAAATTACAACATTAGTCATTCCATTGATTAATTTCAAAGGGAAAGGGGCAAATTACCTGCATGCAATTAAATGCTCTTTGTCATGGATTTTGGTCATGCTGCCTATATATACTTTATATTTTCTCATACCGAACATCGCATTTCACAGGGGTTTTTTTACCAGTATTCTTATCATCCAATTTAAACCAAAACTGATTACCATTTTTTTTTTTTTTTTGCACTATCAGGCCACAATCTCCCTTATGAAAAAGTCCTATAAGATCCTATAAGACCCTATAGGATTCCATAGGAAATTGACCCAATTTCCTAAAGGCTCCAATAGGATCTTATAGGATCCTATAAGACTTTTTCATTAAGGCTTGAATTTCTTTGTTTCTTTTTTTATAAACAGTGAAGTATCCATCTTTAATTATGGCAAATATACTTGAGTCATTACGATAAAAGACTGGAACAATGAGGTTAGGGGCCCCTTATAGATTCTTCAGAAAAATGCAAGTTGGCTAAAGTTCTTAGCAGTCTTTGCTAAGTCAACAATCTACTTAAATCATTTTATAAAATGTGAAACCAGCCCCTGGTCAGGGTTGGGGGGGAGGGGGCTGTGAGTTTGACCTTGGAGAAAAAATGGACACTTCCCCTACCTTGAGGATCTGGTCATGTAGCAGTAGCCCCATCCTGTCTGCTGGACCCCCTTTGGTCACCCTGGAAACCACCAGACCACAACTGGCTCCACCTTCAGGCTAGAAAATAAAATAATCATAGTCACTGTTTGATCTTTTTTTTTCTTTGTTCCTTTATTCAATCATTAGTGTACTTGCATAGATAAATATTTTGATATTTATTTAGTAAGTTAGCAGGTGTTTGTTTATACGTTTGTACATCCATTCATTCATGTGCTGATTATTCATTCATTCATTTATTTCTTTTATCACTCATATATCAATCTCTATCACTTTTATATTATAAAAATCAATGCCAAATTAAAATTCAGGTTGATTGTTCATTTACAAATCAGAAACTCAAATAATGATGCATATTTTCAGAGTTTTCGCATATAAATGAATTTATAACATGTCCATTTCCAAATAAATAACTGATTTGTCAAAAACTGTAGAAACCACTGGTCACAAAAACTTGCAATACGAGGTCATGTCTGTCAAAGTGCTCACCACAAAACACTCATCAGATATCAGAATTTTTAATAAAAGACAGAACAAAGGAAATCTGATTCGTGTTTATTATTGGGTCTCTTCTGCACAGATCAAAAAAGGCCATATGTCAATTGCAATTAAGACTGGAACAATGAAACAACATCTCCCCAATTCATTAAGCCTCTGCTCTTAGTTGTCGCAATACAAGAAATACAATCCTTTGGGTCATTATCTTGTAGTTAATTGGTCAGCTTAATCGGACATCAATATCAGAGTGGTCAGTGATTAAAACCGTGTTCACACTGGATAAAAACCGACCCATTCATCAGATGTAGAACTGGTTCAGTCCAGAAAAGGAAATTCTACACTAAACAAGTATTCTATCCATTTTTTCACTATTCATTCTACTGTGACTGATGATAAATCAGTTTTAATCAGATAAGAAGAAATATTGTGCCTGTTTTTATAACAAGAAAGACGTTTCAGACCAACTCACCTTACTTTATTGAAGTGGACTACTAATAACTTAATTTATCTTGAACTAAAGTAGACCAATTTTTGGTCAAAAACTTGGACATATTTTCGGGTTTAACATTTTTAATGACCCCAGCCCCTGGTCAGCTGATAGCAGGTCAATTTACAGTCCCAAATACTCTTTGAAAAGAGGTGGAAATCGGTAATAAAATCCTGAAAGTGCAAGCATTGAAGGAGAGAAGTTTTATATTGGGGGGAGGGAAGGGGGGGGGGAAGGGGGGGGGAGGCACAAAACAACACCTTAATATTAGGATTTTCATCTCTTCTTGAGTTACCATACCAGGACTCTTCTTCTTCACATGAACCTGCATTAGACTGATCCAAAGCCCATCTAGAGTGTCCACTGTAAATGCGGCCATAGAGGTCAGTTATTAAATATGCATTAGTAATAAGCATTTAATGGACTGAAGACTGGACAATAGTTATCAGTCACTGTCAGCTTTCCTGGGGATATCTTTCTTCATTTCTCATCAAATACAAAACAGATATTTTTCTGAGTTACTTTGATTTTGCAAGACAGGGCTAACAAATTAAAACTCTGCTTTCATCTTATTGTCTTTTATCATTATTATATATTTTTTGGAAAATATTTTTTATGTCAAGATTTTTACAATCCTCTGCAGGGTTATGTTTTAACTTTGTTGGTTGGGGAATTATCTCAAAATGATATGAATGGATTTCGATATATAAGAAATGGACTTACTTTGGATTGACTGGATTTTGGTGGTAATCCATGGATTACTTAACTAATTAATTAATTAATCAATTATTAAAGAGATATGGGCTGCCTTGGCAGACGTACTCAGCATACACCAAATACACTGAATACTTCTCTAGACAGCTGGTGTTGTTATTTTCAATGGGGGAATCAAGATTTTTTTCATCTGCAATTCATCTGTAATTCATGGCCTGCAACTTCTGGAAATCTTTCAGCCGACTGACCACACCTGTGAGGGCTGTGTTCACCATTGAGGTCACTTACGGATGGTGCCCAGTGTCCATTCTGGGGCATCTGATTCATGGAATGCAGGTATTCTGTTTGCCTTCTTTGTATTCTGATACTATTTCTAATGGACTGTTCTCTCGTCTGTGATTTAATTTAACAGAACAGAATACATCTACATGCAGTCACACTATGGTGTCCCAGTACATGGCGTGCATAACAACACATTGGTAACATTATGTGGTCAATCCAATTTACATTTGGACACTGGTTTTGTCAGCCATTTGTCTCGTGGGTGACCACCACCCTCTGTCCACTGTACTCACACAGAGAGTTCACAACATGGTATCTCTGTCTACGTAATATGTGGTGACATCGTTTATGTCATATCGTTGTATGGATGTCTGCTGTGGACAGATGGGAATACATATGTAGTCAGCAGGAGACTGGAATAACAATGACTGCCAGGTGTTTCAGGTTTACTGTGTCAAGGCACAGACTGCCAGAAGTTCCAGTTTCACTGTGCAGTGGCAACATCCTTGTGCAGAGATTTGTATCTTCTTTCTTGCAATTTTTTTATTTGTACGTTCTTGTATTCTGTGTTATTAAATATTTGCACAAAAAGTATTATATTATAGAGAATGCCAAACTGTTTTAACTATTCAATACAGAGTTTAATTACCATTTTAACTTTCTGTACTATATATTAAAAAATATAAGGAATATTCAAAATCAAGAAATAAGAAAGTTTTTTGATTTTGGAACATTATTCTAAAAAAATACTTGAGCAAGTTTTTATTCCAGTTTATTTCCTAAACATGGAAGGAAATTTTTCAACACTGTCATTGTCTCTGTGACACTTCACAAGACGATGTACTTTTGTCACCTAGAAGTTGTGACATTCTGCGACACCACAACGCCATCGCCCCAACACCTTGTCATATGGCATTTCACTAATCAGGTCATATGTCACCAAACTTTGTTTTCCTTTCTAATTGTGATCCCTGCTTAACCAGATAAACTCTGTGAAAATCAACTTAACAGCAATCAGTGAGATGCCTTTTATTGGATTACTTGTAAAATATGATATTTTAATTGGTTTTAAATGGTTCCCCCAATCTTGGTGATGTATGTGTCTTTATGATGGGACATATGGGCCCACGGAAAAGAAAACTGAAGAGTGTAAAGATTGGTGTTGTGAGAAAGTAAATCATCTCAAGTTTGGATTTTCCCCCGTGTCTTAACATATACACAAGTACCTTAATGGAGATTTGATTGCCAAATTTTTCTCTGATGAAAAAGAACTATAGGCTAACATTAGGTACATATGTACCATGGTTACTATCAGTTGTCTGAAGGCTGAATTCGAGTTAAATGTGTGGGCAGACGACAAGAGGACTTTTATCCTCTGACCTCTGCTGACCTCTGCTGGTTTACTCTAAAACTAACCAGGGTTCCTTCTTCCGCAAGATGTAAAAAATGCAATTTTCATTTTGAACAATAAAATGAACAATTCTGAACAATAAGCAATATTTCAAAGAGCACAAAATATTCTCATTCCAAAATGCAAAATCTAAAAACATATAGTACTCATTCATAAATCCTAAATGAATGTGAGGCTTTTTTCTTTGTCTCATGTGGCAGGAATAATACCCCATATATATCCATTCGTTAAAGGCCATTTCGGATCACAGAAAATCAATGGGAAAAACAGTCCAATGCTCTAATCAAATCAGTGTTAATTCCTTTTACTCTAAAGCCACACTGATGCTGAAAGGCAATGAGATTAAATGAGAGACAAAATTAAATCACAAATTATTCCGATTTGCTGTCAGTGTTTACTACTGCCCAATGAATAAGCCTGGTCAGTAGATATGAATGTATGGTCAGCCTAAAACTGGTTAGCCTCAAAGATTGGTCATCTTATACATTGTTCAGTTGTAAAGGTTGACCAGACATTTAAGCTGGAAAGTGTAAATGACAGTGTACATGACAAATTTCTGTTGGATCATTGAATCACAAATATTTTCCCCTCGTTTAATTCTCACACTGTCCATTGTTTGATTTTGATTCACAAAGACCAACAAAAACCACTCAGACTCTTTTTGAGGTACTAGTTTATATATAGATTCAATTTTGTGTAGAAAGGGAAGAGTTTACACTGAATTTATGACCATAAAGTAACCTCAGTAGTTTATGGTCATAATTATTTGTGAATTCATCAGACAAACTATTTTCTCCAATCAAATGTCTTAAATACTTCTTCTCCAGTAATAAAAGAATTAAATTAAATTGTTTTTTAAATTAATTGAGCACTAGGCATAAAAATAACATAGTGTAATGGAATCCTAGGTAAAAAAAAACTGAAAGCTTTCCAACAGGAGCCTACAGCCAAGCTTTGACTGTGTTTCTTCAGGATGGTCTTTTTGAGGCCCAAATTCTTCTCCACAATTCTTCTCCAGGCTTTGAATATGATTCTTCCAGAAGGTCTAGCTCTTTCAGGGCTTAATTTTTTTCCATAATTCTTCACCACATACCCCCTTCAGAAATGACATCCTACATCATTGTAGGCAATAATCAATATGTCATTATAACAGCATTACTGTTCCATTTCAATGTGTAAGAATTAGATTTAGAAAAATTTTCACCTGAGGAAATCTCATCTGATGATTTATCAGATGTTTGGACTTAAAGATAAAAGTAACATCCACCTCTGCCACCTGTTTCTCTATTCAGGCTAAAACTTTCCTCACAAAACAATACAACTGCTTCTAATATCATGTCTAAATGTTTTTGTTTGTAATAAGACTGGATGGATCAGCATCATAACACTTAACAATCACAGCTTATATACATATGCACAGTCCACATTGGGGGGGGGGGCTGTTGTAAGGGCCTTTTTATTAGCATTATAGATCTTATACCATGATTTATCTGATTTTTTTTAATCAATTGATAAAACTTTTACTATAAGTATCACATGCTTTTATCATCTTTACATTTGTCTTTACATTCATCAATTATGTATAATTTCACAAAAGTCAGCCAGATTATGATAACAGCAACTGATCCAGATTGACCCCATCATAAAGACCATACTTTGAGGATGTATTATCATCTATTATGTAGTGGTTTAAGGCCGATTACCTCTGATTAGCTATAACAATAGTTGTTGATGTTTATACCCTAATACTTGACCACCAGCTTGACCAACTGACCTGTGCCACCTGTTAGTGTTTGTGAACTTAATTAAGTGTTTTGTTGCGGTGATCATGAAGGTAATGAGTTACATAAATACTAGTAAGTATTTCACAATATAACAAGGAGAAAGAGGTTGTAGAGAAAGTTTAGGGGTCATCCATTTTTTTTATGATCATTTTCACAAGCCGACTAACCATAGGCATGCATAAACTTACTGTGAATCCACCCATCAAGTTGAATCCCAGTGAATGATTCTTCCTCTCCAATATTACTGTAATATTTTCCTCTGTTGGCTGAAATGTGGAATCATGGAAAATACTCAGAAACATCAGAACATTTCATTATCATATTTTGCTACATGTATTTTCCTTTACCTTTTTTCCAAAGCTCTAAAAAAGGTAAAAGTAGTGAAAAATACAAGGAATAAAAAAAGTGTAATGAAATTGTTTTCTTATAAATATTATTTTTACAGGTAGAAATGGCAAAACATCCTTTTACAAATGAATAAAACATCTTTTGAAATAGAGAATATCACTATAAAAGTAACATTTGTATGTCTAATATATAGCTATAGATTACAGATAAAAATGGCATTAATATTAAATCAACCAAATATTGTCTCCCTTTTTACCCCAGTGAGAATTCAAACTTTAAACAGAGAATCATTCTCCATTTGTTGAAATAGTAACTGAATATCCTTGCTATGTATTTGAACTAAATATTTGCAAATCATTATTATCTTGCTTTACCTTTTGTTTATTCATTCTGAATAAACAATATTGGCAACTTTATTTTCAAGGGAAAACATACAAGAGGAATTACTTAATTTACAGTAAAATTGTCACTTTGAAAGTATTTATTGTAAAGCAGTGATATTAAAACATTCGAAACAGACAAATTCTAAGCTCTGAATCCTGTTTTTTTAACACAGTCTAGAGATTTTGTTTTTTGGTTGCAGACATATCAACCATTACATAATATGACTGAAGAATCAATACATGTAATACGCAGGACATTTTGTTAACACCACTTCATAAATCAAAAGTAATGGTCAGTTGTGGCGCACGGTATTGAATTCTGTAAAACCATGGAATTCAATTCCAAGACAAATGTTTGCAAATTAGCCAGTCCAGCTAAAGCGCTTCTACATAATCAATAAACATTGGTGATCAGTATAGAGAAGGGTGTAAATCTAGCCACGACTAAGTTCATCCTTTTCACAAAGGAAAGTATGTTCGGTATCTCTTGTTGTATTATTACACAATTCCTACAAGATACAAATTAATTAGCTCTCTGAAAAAACACCTGTATCCCCCCCTTTTCAAATGCTGAATAATCATCATGAAAAGCAAATAAAAAACAGAGGTAGGTGCTTATATGACACTCATATTAACAAGGGTCTTTCAATACCCCCTAAAAATACATACATACATACATGCATACATTAAAAAAAACAGAAAAAAACAAAAGATAGGTGATAGTATGAAAATCATAAAACAAAGGTGATCAATTCTCTCTCTCACTCTCTTTGTATCTCTCTCTCTCTCACACACACACACACACACAAACACACACACACACAAACACACACACACTGCTACGCATAGCATAAACACTTTCTTGAAAAACAAGCCACCACAGAGAGTCAGGTGGTGATATGACACTGATAATGATATAACGGTGATAAATTCCTCTCAATTACACCATAATTATAGCAACAGACAGCCGACAAATCAAGTTTCACTGCCTCGTGTTAACTCAGGACAAAAATGAAAAATTAGGAGGGTCTTAGAAGTATTGTTTTCACATTATTTGTTTCTCTTACTCCTAAGAGAAGAAACATTAGCTAGATACAGGTCAGCCGGTGAATTTTTTCTTTGGCTTCTGCAATTACTTTAAGAAAATTACAAAAAAGAGGGAAGAGTTTTTTTATAAGGTATGAAAATTAGTTCTGTTCATACATGGACTTTGTTTTTATATTTTGTTCTTCTTCTCCCTCGAGATGAAAGAACTCCAGCAATATAAAAATGAATCCTAAATGACAGAACTGCAGAGGGTGATAAGAACCAAACTGTCAAGATGGACTGGGAACTTGTTCAATCATGGCCAGCCAGTTGGTTCTCTGTCTCACACGTGAAGATATATGTCAAGAATTCTTCAGTCATTTTATTCTCTCAATATCAATTTCCTTTCTCCCATATTAAATTTTTTCTTAGTCATGCACAAACAAAGACATTCTCCTTTTTTAATGTCTTAAATATAAAATTATTAAACTAATGAAAAATTATACATTCATTTAAATTACATTTACATTAAATTGTCTTAAAATACCCTCTAACCTTTGGTAATATTATGTCTACTCCTTTCTTATTTTATAGGTATCTTTTGATAGGGACAATTACTGTCGCTCCAAGCTGACAAATCTGTCAATTAATATCCCTGTTAATTACAGTATCTGATTATGAGGAACTTCATTGTTTCAATCTTGGTGGTTTGTGTATGTTGTGTGTTAGCCCCTGCTACCACTGTAGCACAAAAAAAGCATGCAATATAGAACTCCCTTTTTCACTGTTTCACATATATATATATATATATATATATATATATATATATATATATATATATGAGTGCAAATACAAGGCTTTTTTCATGATACCTACCTATGTGTGTGTGTGTGTGTGTGTGTGTGTGCGTGCGTGCATGCATGTATGCATGCACACAAGGGGAAGGGGAAAACTTTGAATTAATATCATTACAGAAGGTCTCACCTGTAAGCATGACAGACTGTAAGTTGATAAAGATGACAGCTGACTTTTGCAATCCACTAATCTCTTCTGAAAGTGTTCCACCTGGAATTTCAACTCACTATGCAGCTCTGCAATCTGTCCAAGTAGCATCTTTTCTCGTTTGCCATAATTTGTCGTAAGTTTCCGCAGCTGGTTTTTTGCAGAACGAAGCTCCAATTCTTGACTGGTCACATGATTTCGTAACGCTTGTAGGCAGTCGTGATTTTCTGAATTCTTTGGCATCAGGGGCAGTTGGCATCCCTTCTGGCAAAATCCTTGAGGGCGAAACGAGCACCATGTGGATTCGTGTTCCTCCAATGCATTTAAACTCACCATAGCTCCGCAGCCCTGGTTTCTACACTGTATTGGTCTCCACCTACATTCCTTCATATGCCTCTGTAAAGATGACAGTTTCATTCTCTCCTGGCAACCTCTGGTGAAATATTCACAAGAAACTTCCATGTGTCTTGTATTGTATTGTACCATCTATGATGCACTGATATACTTCTACAACAGTTCCCTACTTTCTATATTCTCCTAAAATCTTTTTAAAAAGAGACTCTCTATAATAAATTTCCAGAAATTTTTTTTTTTTTTTTTTTTTTTTTTGCTGGTAATCTTCTCCCAAGTTGCTCAACTTTGTAAAAATGTCAAGTAACCTGGTATTTTTAAGGGCATCAATCCTGTGGGAAAAAAAGCGCAAACCGTTTCTATGTAAAAAAAATAAATAAACATCAACAAGAAAAGTTGAGATTATAAGACAAAATATAAAAGAAAAATGCAGACATGCGCGCCGCTGTCTTCAGAAGCACTTTTCAGTTCTTTGCACCAATGTTTCACTTTAAACTAAAATTACTCGTAATACGCTGTTGACCAATACTGCGTCCGTGTTAATGAACATCCGATATAGCCTACGAGCGTCCCTTAAAACGCAACAACTGTCACTGTCAGCTCACCAGATATGCAACAACAAACAAACACAGCGACGTGTACAACAAACAAGCCTAGCGACAGCCTCCACTGGCGTTGACTGAAACTGAAAATATTTCTGTCCCGTAATATTATTGTGTTCATTATTCTACCAAGTCACTGCCCGCCTATCGCTGCCTCCGAGGAACGCGGCAATTACAGATAATCTCCTTACTGCTCCGCGTGCTGGCTGTTTGACTGGGGATCGATCCATGAATTCTAAGAAAATGACTGGGAAGCTGTTATCACCATGATGAAATAGGACGTTGCGCTCGAGCCATGTGCTCCGCGTGCACACGGGTTCGAGGCTAATTAGTTCACGAGACTCCCCTCCCCCCCCCCCCTTCCCCCCACCCACACACAAACCACCGCTCTGAGCCATGTCGTGATGTGGTTGGTATTTAATTTTTAAGATTAATTGAGGGTAGGATCTGGTGATCAAAGATATTAAAAGATGTTCCCTCTAACAGTCGGATCCAGGATTTTGCTGGAGAGGCAACTGGATAGGGCAAAAAAATTGTCGAGCGAATCAAATATAAAACAGGACATTCAAAAAATCAATGAGTCGTGTTGGTCTGGAGCACATGGATGAAAGACATATACAAAGATCATATGGTTTTTATCTCGTTTCTCTGGTAAATTTTTTTCATGTGAGAAGAGAAAGAATGGGTACCGCATTGACAACCCCCCCCCCCTCCTCGGACCACCTCATTCTCTCTCTCTCTCTCACACACACACACACACACACACACACACAGTACGTCCACACATACTCAATGACTAGCATCCCCACCCATTTGTTCTGATGCGGAACAGTGTTTTCCAATTTTACTCCGGTGTAGATGGATAGGCCCTATAGCTTGTCGCGTTGATTCAAAATCACTGCTGGATCAAGGAGACAGTGAAGACTCTTTTCTGATACCGATTTGTATATTTGTTGCTTATTGTTACCAACTTCACTCAAGAGGAGAAATATTGCATATTTTTCGGCGGGTTATTAGAACTTATTTCGTTTGTTTTTGCGCTAGTCAATGTTTCTTTTGCGTATCTCAGCACCTTCGGTTTTTTCTTTTTCTTAAAATCATGATGCTTGAAAACTGTAACTGACAGTAATGAAATTATTGAATTAATCAATAGCTGTCATTTCTTTTAATTAAGTATTTTTTTTTATCATAATAAGAAGACTGATTCCCTTCACCCCGACAATTGTTCCAATCTTTCAAGCCAAAAAATTTAGTCTTATTCTACCCAAGAAAAACCACTGGCTATAGAAGTGAAAAATTGCGCCTGTTTTATAATAACTTGGACGAATTAAATGTCCAAGATGATAACAAAGACATAAATAATGCCTCAGACTAAAGTTCAGTAGACTGCTATGGATTTACTTTGCACTCAAGTAGACCAAATTTTAGTCTTATGCAATTTTTTTTTTTTTTTTTTTTTTTTTTTTTTTTACAGTTTTTTTTACATATTCATTCATTTATTTTATCAAAAAAGGGGGATTCATTTTGATAGTCCATAGC